AGCCACCGGCTGCTCCAACATCCTCACCGGTAAGGACATCAAACTCTTCTAACTCCATGTCTGCAAAAGATGAAGAAGAAAATCAGCAAAGTATAAATACTTGTCTCGGTAAAGAAAGAACAAAAGGTGCAAAACAAAACTTGAGTGACGATGGTCCCCAACCTCTGCAGTGTTGCCCGGGGAAGATACCTCGCGCCCATCTGCTTCATGGGCCTGCAAGGTACCCTCACCACCCCGGTCAATCCTCCAGACCCAGCTCCCATAGTGAAATGTCATCTCGGTATAAGGATAACCACGGAGCAGCTTCTCAGACTCTCCTCCTAGACATGAGTGGTGGCCGGTTCGGTGAATTCTTGATTAAAGATATCTGATGTGATCGTTCCACCTCAGACCGGCCAGAGAAGAGACAGATGGGGTGACGTGAATGAAAACAATTTTTTCCTTCCACCCCCCGTTACTCTGGGGGAGGTTGGAGATGAACTTACGACCAAGACGACCCTTAAAATATACAAATCTGTCGCGACCGGGTCGCCTGAGAAGTACTTCAAACAAGAAGAGGGAAAGACGAAGGGAGGGATCAATGCGAAGATGAAAACAAATATTTACAAAGGAATTTAAAAGAAGATGGACATTGGGAGTAATCTGCCCGGGAAGAATCCTAAAGGCATGTCAAACTTCAACTAGGAGGGGGTGGAGAGGAAAGACTATGCCGACCTCCAAAGAGGTGATATGGAAACCTATCCTATTCTCCCGGTGTGGCTCAACGATGTTGGGCCAATTTTCATCATATTGAAGGACGTAACCCTCCAGGAGATTCCTACGAGCTTTATTCAGAGCTATTTTGGAGACATGGGGGGATGTCTAGAACGTAAAAAGTGGGAAGGGGAAAGTAACCGACATTCTTGAGCCTTTCCCCACTCCACCCAAGACTCGTTGTCTGGATCATATGCACCCGGTTCCTGATTCATCGGCTCCTATCTTTCCACAAAAACCTGACACGGTACTTGATTGACTAGTTTAGGATTGGGAACAAGAGTGTCCTGAGCCGGTCTAGACTCAAAGTCAGAAGAATAGTAATCGGTGGAGGAAGTAGACATGACAGATTCCTCTTATGCGTAGGCATCTGAGAAAGAGAGGTTTTGACTATCCTCTTCTGAAGACATGACAGCGAAAAGAAGAGAGAGAGGAGGGAAAGGCTTACTTACTCGGAGGGCTGGAAGACTAAAGCTGGGAATTTGACTGGTAAAAGTTCGAGAGGATGTGCGCAAAAGGTGAAGGAATAAAGGGGCTGGAGGCCTTTATATAGGCGAGCAGAAAGGAAAAGAGGCGACGTGGCAAGCTATGGATATGCCGTGTCAGGCGGCTCCATCATGACACATGGGGAGACGAAAGGGCGCAGTGATGGTTTTTGGTTGACGAGCGACACGTGTCAAAAAACCAGAGATTCAAATTTGAATTTTGAAAATCTCAGGCGGGAAAGATTGAAAATTCGAATTTCGAGTGATCCATGATGGTTTACATGGCCGAGAAGGAGAGGGCTTATTGATTGGTGTATTCCACCCAGTACCGGTCGAATGGAAGGTCCACAAATGTTTGACCTGTCAAACGATGAACTTTTGGAATAGGATGCCTAAACAACAAAAGTTTATATCGGTCGGTGACAGAAATTTGACCGGTACACTTTGATTACTCTATCGGTCAAACGACGTGGCTCGTCCCCCCAATCTCCATAAATTCATCCCACGTATACCTAACCGGTATGGTTTCTAGGGCAGGGAAGTGTCGGCATGAAAGAATCCAAGGGAGGTTGGACTGTATTGGCCGAATTCAACGAAGGATCAATGAAGATATTCACGCAATCAGTCCAACACGCTACGCGACAAGGGAGTCACCTTCCTAGCTAGATGACAAGGGAATAAAGGGATGAAACAAGCCACTAAAAGACAGAAGCAATCACCTCGCGCCACCCAGGAACGTGGCTTGACGTGGGTGTGCGGCGCCTTGTCTCCTCTAGCTTCCTATAAATACTTGTGTAACCTTCAAATGAAGGGATCCGAGTTTTTCTCTCTAAAGACCATTGTGTAATAGCTCTCGTGCACTTTACAATATTCTAATAACAATTGGGCTACATGTGTTCTCACCTACAGTCCTCTCGGTTAACTTTGGTGTTTACTACCTTTTACTTTCTCGAATTCAGTAAACAATCCTAGACCCGGTCTAGTACTGTTTACCAGTTGGTAATTTACACCATCATTGTTCACTGAGATACTTCTGATGAATGAAACCATTTCTTATCCTCCATATCCCACAAATTTGCTAGTGGTCCATGCTGTCGGATGTGCCTGTTCCTAGTACAAAAGGTCTTCATAATCTGCTCCCCAAACTCGTTGATGGTGTTAGGTTGGTAATGAATATTATGAGTCTGTAAGACCAAGTCGAGCACCTTCTTAGCAAACTCACATTCATAAAAAAGGTGCTCACTATTCTTGTAAGAGAAGCCACACCAGCTGCCATCATTATTAGTAATTTAGAATCAAATCACTTCCTCATTTTAGCTTTGGTTATTATTGGTCATGAATAATGAATTAATAACCAAAACAAAAATTAAGCTTTAAGAGGGGTGAGTTTGTTCCAAACCCAATCAGCCTAATAAACCTTGTGAGTAACACCTTAAAGCCAATCATAACCATGTTTTAGGCTGTAATCACCATTGCACTGCATATCTCTGAAACAATTCTTCACCTTTACCATTTGCCTCCAGTAATGACAGGAACTCAGCTTAGGAATATAGTCCCAGAAGGAAGAAGATTGGTATACCTGCTATGAATCCATTTCACCTGAAGAACATCTTTTCTATTTGCTATGTTCTAATTTTACTTCATAATGACAGAGTTGTTCCAATCAGTAATATTTTTAATACCCAGGCGCCCGCTACTTCTGGAATTTGGAGGAATTGACAACATCCCGTTGCTCCAGATGGGATTTCATGTAATCATGGGAACCACCCCAAAGAAAACTTCTACAGATGCTAATGATTCTCTTTAAAAACATCTTAGGGAGGATAAAAATCCTAGACCAAAAGGTAACAATGCCCATAAGAACAGAGCTGATCCATCTAACTCTAGCACTGTAGGAGAAATGCCTAGAACTCCAAGCTGTGATCCTAACAGTCAGTTTACTAGTAACCTTTCAAAGTCAGCAAATTTCAGTCTGGAAGCTGTTATAAGGCTCCCAGGATATGTAAAGGGGAGTTTACCTTTGCTGATATGAGTGAGGTTCAATAAGTAGTCCTGTTGTTGAATATTGACTCCCCCAAATTCAACCTGGGATTTGTTGAGATTAATTTGGAGGCACATAATTTTTTTTGCATCAACCAAAGCTTATGCTGATAATATTCAGTTCTGCACACATAGGGTGGTACTTGTAAGTTGTAACCACCTTGATACACATTTTAAGGTGATGAATTATGTGAATCTTCAATTTGGAGGATGTAAGCTCATGGCAGTGATTCTTTCCTGCATGCAGGATAGTTTACAATTAGGTATTATAGAATTCTTGTTGAACTCTATAGTTAAGTTTCCACCTTAAAGTGCGTGCAGAGTAGTAGCAAGAACTTTAAAAAGAAATAGAGGGAGTAGTAACTTTTTATAGTCCAAAAATGGAAGTCAAAGTTGATTAGCATCTGACCTCAGTATCCAAAGCTATGGGTTCCTTGTCTTGTTGTCATCATGCCGCATGGTGGCTTAATGAGCAATATGATCAACTTTCCACTGTTTTACACTTGCACCAAGCTTTTGTCCCACATTGCTTCCTCTTGGGGCATGAATTGGAGTATTGCAATGGAATTAGGAGGCATGTGTCTTGGTCTAGTAGCTGTTGGCTTTTTATGTTGTTTTAGAGAGCTAGACACTTCTTTGTATTCTGTGGGTTCAATTGGTATACTCAGGACCAGGAGTTTGACCAGTTTGATTGACCAACCATGAGATGTTAACCATGCAACTAGAACATCAAAGCCTAGTCATTTTGGTTCGGTTAACATGAATTGATATCTTGTCCATTGTATAATAATGGGGAGAAGTTGATGGGGAGAAAGGAATAGGTAGGAGATATGGAAAGTAACATAAAACTACTATGCAAGTTAATTTCTCCAAGGTATACTTGTGGAGTTTGTAAAAAAACTGTTTGATTTGCCACCCATTAAATATTTTGAGAAAGGTGTAGAATAGCACATGATTCCTATTTCATTTTTTGGGTTTGTGAGACTCCATCCATGGCCTTGAGGATGAGCCAAATATCTAGCTTGAGATTGGTATTGGTTTGATATTAAAGTTGTTGCACACATTTCAGCAACTTATAGTTTACAACCATGTATGGTATGATTAGCATTCCATAGGCTATGGTAAGCAAACTTTTCAGAAAGCTCAAAGGCAGTTGATATAAATTCTTTCCCTTGTGTCAGTATCTGTTCTTTTTTATTTTTGTATTAAACCTGCAGCTAAGTCTATGTAGAGAACCAGTTAAATGCAGCTCCTAGGCATGTTAGAAGTCTCACATAAAGAATTTGTTCAGTTATACTGGATTGATTGAGCTTTTTGTGTGTTTGACTGGTTTTCGTGTATTTGACTTTGATATTTGTGTGGGCCTGTATTTCTGTTGGACAATATAAACTAGTGTTTAAAAGATTGACTTGGCCACATACATATTTGACATGCTTTGCACTTGTATCCATTAACGAATGATGAACTGAAACTGCAATAACAAGGATTCCCGAATGAGCAGTGCAGATTAGGTAATGAAATGGTGGGTAGATAATACAAAGACAAACAAGAATATTTTTGGCAAGCTTTAAATGTCCGTACTTTGTACTGTATATCTGAACCCAGGTTCTGTTTGTGCTACCATTGTAGTTTTTTTATCTCTCATTTGGCTTTTATAGTAACAAAACCTTATTTCCGAAAATCACTTCTTGTCGGCTAACACAAATGATTATGCTATTGCAGGTTGATATATATTTATTTAATGGTGAATTATATGAAGGTCAAGTCTTGTTCTATGACTTTTGTTATAATGTAGCAACTATCAAGATCATGTCTAGCAAATTTTTGTCAACTGCAAGTATTCGTGATGTTACTGATTCTTTAGAATTAGTTTCGAAGAAGCCTGTACTAAGCCGATGTCAGCATTTACCAAATACTTCTACGCCCTTCAATCTCAGTCCCGGGAAGCTTGTAATAGCTTTAGGCCGTGCTTGTGGGTATCATTATGACATCATGGCTTCTCCTGGTGTATTTAGGTATGTATTTATCTTCTTAACGTGTTGTATGGTGTGTGTTTTTTGTATACTTTTTCCATGCCAGTAAGATTATCTTACACTCTTTGACCATGAATTTTTTAAGATGTAAGTCAAGCTAAAATTTAATGAGATGGTGTTTTCCTTTATTAAATATTTACAAATGTCAAATAAGATATTTGATGCTACATGACGAGAAAAATAATTAAGGGGCCAAAGTTTAGCCCTGATGACTTGTAAATCAAACAAGCCTGGCTTCTAAATTCCTATGTACTTCTTATGAAGCAAATAAATTCATGTGCTTTTTCATGAAGCAAACAAGCGATAGATGCTCACCCAGTTTTTCGGTATTTGGGTTGGTTAAAAAATAATCTTTGCAATGTAAAGATTGTGTAACTAAGCTCCCTCCCCCCTTACCCTTTAATACTGGAGGGTTTTTAGGTACTGGGGAAACAAGACTAACAATGGTCATAAATTACTGTTCATCATACCTGAATATAATATCAGCACACAGGTGACTAATCCTACGTCTGCTGACCTTCCTGTACACCCTTGTCACTCATTCATGTATTATTTTCTTATTGATCAGTGCTCAAGATTGTTGTCATGATTATGAAGAACTTTTCATGACGAGCTGTGTGGTTAGTAAGGTAATTCTGTTCTTGTTCTTCCACTTCGTGCTTTTGTTAAATTTGCATTTTTGCGGTTGGATACAACTTTCATATTGGCTCTTTCGGGACCCATCCGACCCCTATTTATCCTTCCAGAGATTGTAGCTTTTGCGACATTGTTGCTCCCGGTTAACTTTGCATCCTTCGAATGCTACTGTTTTTGCTTAATAATTAAAATGCATCTTTACTTCATCTTGTTGAAAATATGGATTTATTACAGCTTGCTGTTGGGGGACCCCTTGTCAACTGCGACGGAGAAGTCATTGGTGTCAACTTCTTCATCTGCCCATTTGCCACATTTGTACCAATTACTATAGTTTGGAAATGTTTGGAGAACTTGAAGAGAAATGGGTAATGTTTTAAAATATTTTCCTTAAATCTTGTATCATTCTGTTTCTTGAGATTGGAATCTGCTGGTTCGTAATGTTATTTTAAAATTTATATACTCTTTTACAATTCATTAAGATAAAGTATATACTCCAGTTATGATCTGATTCCTCAAGAGTTTATTCGACTTATCATCAACCTATTACAAATCTTCTTTGTACTTTCATATGCAAAACTATTCATAAAAAATTATGGAGATTCAATTTAATAAGCATGATCAAGAGTTTTCACATGAATTCATTTGGTATTTTCACATGAATTCATTTGGTCGATACAAGATAATTTGACTTTAGACACATGTGATGGAAAGGCGTGCTGCTTAAATTTGAAGTTTTCCCTTGTCTGAGGCTACTTTCTGTATTATTGACAGCCTTAATTTGGTTGCTGAAGCATTGAGCTTATTATTTTTGGTGTAATTTTAACATCCTGGTATCCCAGTGACTCACTGAGCTCTTCAGCTCTTATTTCATTCAACTGAAGGCTGAAGCTACTTTTTTCTTGTAAATAGTTTTGGAAAAGAAGGAAGGAAAATATATTTCTGTAGTGTGTGTATCTATTTCTTTTATGAATTTGGTTAGCATTGTGTGGTCATCATTACGTCTTTCTCATTGTTTAAATGGCATGATCTCTGAATGAATTAGTTTCCTTTCATGGGATTGAGTTTTTTTTGAGTGTCCTCAGTTCTTTTTGTGCAGCTTGAGCCGGGGGTCTCTTGGAAACAGCCTCTCTACTTTCGCGTAGGGGTAAGGTCTGTGTACCCACACCCTCCCCAGACCCTACTTTTGTGGGATCCAACTGGTTTGTTGTTGAGTGTCCTCAGCTCTTTGTTTAGGTGTGTCGGGCTAAAATTGAAACTCTTTTTTTCTCCGAGCTGTAACTTCTTTTTTTACCCGAGCTGGAACTTTTTTTAATTTAACAAAGCTCCTAAACACATGTGCTTTTAAGATATTACTGTACCTTTCAGCTCATATTTCAGTTTTACTTGCAAAAGAGCAGCTGCAAGTTACAGACTTACAGTGTCTTTCGAGTAGGAGTATCTTACTTGGTCCCTTCTTGTACGTTTGTATTGGGTGCTAAACCATGTTGAACAGAAAATCTGTGCTTTTTAACATGGGTTTTTATGTCACACAGGCAGGTTCCACGACCTTGGCTTGGGGTGCGAGTTGGAAATCTTTACACAGCTAACTTAGATACGTTGGATGAACTGTATCAGAAGTTTCCCGATGTGTCGAAAGGAGTCATAGTTGAAGAGGTTTGATTTCTTTTGAATGAGACATTGATTAGTGTGTTCTAGGTTTTATCTAAGAGACTAAGACTATGTTTTAGTACCCTAGTAGAATATCTTACCATAGGAATACCTCAGACGTACATTGAGGATCTGCATCTATGTTGGTGAAATGATGTTCAGACGTGTATATTTAATGTTTAAGGTACTAGATGTTATATCATTGTACAAGCAGCTAATTGTCTCTTGTCCACATGATAAAAGTACTAGCAGCTACCTGCCAGGATGCCAAAAGAGGATTCAAAGGATGTAAATTGCTTCATTGAGGGCCATTGTGATGTACCCCTGGATGGCTCCACCAAAACCCAAACTCTCCCAACATATCCAAAAGTCTTCTTTCTTTTCTTTAATTCAAAATAAATTCTTTTCCATCCATTTTTAACCTCTGGTCAAAAATGAGATCAAAGGAAGGGAAAATAAGACCTTAGTTTCTTGTTTTTATCTTTTAAAGTCTTTGTTAGCCAAATAATGTCTTCCCCTCTTCTTCCTACATTAGGGACGAAATTCCAGCCCCTTTTTGTTCTAAAAATCCAACCAAATCACCACTTCCCACAAAGGAACAAAAATCAGCCAAAAGTCATAAAGTGGAATAGTAGTCATGGTAGGGATAGTAGTCAGACCCATTGTTGACTTGGTAGTCATCATCATATGGATTCTGATGTGGGTGAAAAGGTGAATGGGTTTGAAACGGAGGGCGGTTGGGTGATTGGTAGAAAGAAGGCGGGCCATAATAACCACTGGAGTTATCCATAATAATTACTACGGGTGGTTGGTGAAAAAGAAGTGAGAAGATCGTTCTAACCAATCTTTACCCAAGCTAATTAAAAGAAATTAAACTAATGCCGTGTCACTCCCCGGCCACGGCTCCATTTGACACTCGTAGTTTTTCGGGTAGTAAACCTTCCCAATAAAGGGTTAGTTTTCTCTCTGAGTGTCGTGTCTCGAGGAGTGGACAAAGAAAATTAATTAATTTTGTCTAATTAGGCGAAGGTTAGGATTGGTTTATGAAAGTCTTCTCGGAACGATTATAAAAAGAGCATAATAAAAACAATAAATTAATTTCACATAGTACAAGTGTAGATCTGGACCTAGGGTCAGGACATCATTTGGATCTATTTTATCATATTTAATTAACAATTGGAATAATAATATTTCTATTATTACTCATCTATTTCTAGATTTGTACTTAATCCGTTGCACTTGAACATCATAGCCCTTTGGCATACAATATTTTCTCAATAAATAGCTAATTAAATCTTTCGAGATTAATTAACTAAATAAGGCAAGAACAATAGATTAACCATTCCAACATTAATTTAACATTCAAAATATACAACCAAACTAGTCCGAACCCAGGGATCCGGACCCTAATCATACTATGCAAACATAAATTAAAACAACATTTTATTAAATAAAGGGAACTTACACCTTCTGTAAAAGCGGAACAGAACAGATCGGGAGTCAAATCCTCCGGAAAATACCTCAAAACAATAACTAAACTAATATACAATGAATTATTGAGTAAAATAGGGGAGAAACCCGAAATGGGTTGAGAGATGGTGTTCAAATGAAGAGGAGAGGCACTAATTATATAGAGTCGGAGCCAAGGCATCCAACTCCAAGCATCCAAGTCCAAGCGTCTGGACGCTTTGGGTGTCCCGGCCAATCAGGTTCTGCCACGTGTCATTCTTGGACTGCAATTTAGCTGAAGCGTCCAACTCCCAAGTGTCCAAGTTAGACGCCTCAGCCCCTTCTCTTGGTGGGCTTCACGGCTGGTTCGTGATTTTGGCCCAATTTCGCTCCGTTTTGGCCCCAAACGCTGTTTTTGACCTCCCGGAAGCTCGTTCAAGCCCGAATCTTGATCCTTTGATGATTCTTTCCCTTTTTCTCAAGTATTTGAACATAAAATGGAAAATTTATGATGATTTCAAGTGGAATCCCTTTTTATGATACTTAGAACGAAAATGAGTGTTTTGGTCATTAAAAACACATTTCATGAGATGATTAAATGTTATTTACGTGCAATAACGTTTAGAATATGATGTAAATGATAAGAACGAAACGGACATATCAAATACCTGATACGTACATTGAGGATCTGCATCTATGTTGGTGAAATGATGTTCAGACGTGTATATTTAAAGTTTAAGGTACTAGATGTTATATCATTGTACAAGCAGCTAATTGTCTCTTGTCCACATGATAAGAGTACTAGCAGCTACCTGCCAGGATGCCAAAAGAGGATTCAAAGGCTGTAAATTGCTTCATTGAGGGCCATTGACCCATTGTTTTTTCTTTGTTCCACCAATATTCCATATGTGGTTTCTGTCGAATTTGTGCTTAAAAATTGATTGGAAAGAGTATAAGGCTCTTCAAACTAATGAAGTAGGATTATTAGAAAACAATTTTGTTAGTCTCTTCTTTTTAGATGGATTTCATTGTCACGTCTTTAGAAATGGAAATATGTAATTTCTGAACTCTCAGGCTCTGAGGACTTCTAGTGCTCTGATGGCTGTTTGTCTTATTGGTGTGTTTTACTTTCCTATCAGAAAAATTTGTTAGTTTCTTTCTGTATTTAATGTATCCTTATCTCGGATACTCTTCACTTTGAGTGTGCATCTTAGAATCAAGTTTTCGGTCGAGTGAATTACCTGTCCGGCTGTCCCTATCCTGCTGTGAGCATCATGGATTGCTATGATGGTGACCTCCATACTTCGTTTAGGTCAACTTTTGATTTTCTTTTGCTGGTTTCGTTTTTGCAGCTCACTGGAAAGATTAACATTCATGCCCAGAGGAAGCGAACAAAGGTTTTATTTTTTTTACACCTCATCTAGAAAAGCATGCATGCTTGGTTTTCTTAATCTCCCCGTGCTGACCCTTTATCTCAATTGTACCAGGTGCACCATTCGATTTTCTGGTCAACGGGGAAATGGCTTACGGCGAAAGCTATGCTTCAAAAAGTATGGATGCTTACTTTGTTTATTGTACTCTCCATTTCAGTGTGATCTCTTTTACTTGCTTCTCTTTTGTAATTTCATCTCTCGTGCATCAAATTTTCTTCTTGCTTTCAGTTGTCCCAGACCAATGTTTTCCCTTTTCTAATATGGTTTTTGGAATAAGACTGTTGAGTTTCTTGCCGTTGTTAGAGTTGCTTTTCCTTGGCTGCTATTTGGACATATGATTTGGGTTTTTCCCCTATTCATCTCAGTTTACGCATTTCCCTACCATCTGTATTTGATTTAATGATGTAGTTCGAGGCAAAAAAGAAGTTTCTGCCTTATACGAACTAAGCCAAATTCGTTCAAACATGGTAAGCATTTGATACCTTCAGGCCACAATAACCAGAGCAGTAGGCAGGTTTGGGTCAAGTTGCACAAGGACTCAGTTGTTGACGGTTTAAGTTCATTGTCAAGGCTAATTGAACAATATGGTGGTTATTAAACTATTGGCTACTATATACAAATGCAGTAAACATGTTATAGCAGAGGTCAGGGTTGGCTCATCTAGATCTAGGTTTACCATAAACGCATGTACTTTGCGTGCCTACTTGAAGGCATATATCTTAACGTATCTACAAATTTAGCTGACCCCTTTTTTCATGGCGGATCAAATAAATTTAACTCTCTAAGGTCTTCGAGTTCCTTCTTTAGAGAATTAGGCATACTTTTATGATCCAAATCTTGAGTATTTTATTTTGATGTTCCGATATGGAAAACCACCTTTCGATGCTCTAATATAGACATAGAGTCTAAAATCATGTGAACGATGGGTACCAAAATCTCTACAAGATATTCTGATCTCTGAGAACTAAATCAAAAGAATAATATTACAATTCGACCGGAAGTCTAGGTCTTTGTAGCTTGCTACAATTGCAACAGAAAATTATTTTCCTCCCATTTAACACAAAATATTGTTGTGGACCATCTCAGGAAATAAAAGCTATCTTATATAATGGACCAGAAGCTTGGTTAAATCCTTATAAAGTAGGGAACTATAAGGCTCCATTTGGTACACGGAATTCAAACTATGGAATTGGAATTGGGGACAACATTTCCAATTCTGTTGTTTGGTAGCACAAAAATATGTGGATTTGGAATTTGTAGTGCCAAAAATAAATTGGAATTGGAGAATTCAATTCCATCCAAATCAATTCCCTAGAATTTCAACTCCCAATTCAATTCCAAATCCATCAATTCCGTGTACCAATTGGACCCTAAATATGGCTTTTACATCCAGGTAAAAAATGTTTCATCCCTCAAGGATGTTTCTTGAAGGCTCATGTTGTCCAGATCAAATCAACATAGCTCCGGACCTTATACGTACTCTGTTAGGCATGGCTTCTATACAGTTTGCCTACTTATAAGACTTGTGATGACATGTTTTTCGTCGCAGTTGTGTGCATGTTTTCCATCATCATGTGGCATCTAAAACCTAGGTTGCATGGAGTCGGCACTTTGGTGCCGCTTTGCGCTCCAGAAGCGACACGGGAGCGGCAGTAGACGAATTGGAAACACCGTGGGGAGAGGGATTCAACGGCTTCTTCACGCTGGACGGAATCGGGAAGTTGGGGGTGTACCTAGTATGGGTCGGGCTTAGATCTGAAGAACCCCATTTACTCAAACTTTGAAACTTAAGTTTTTACCGTAGACCCGTACTAGCCCTAGCCCCTGGATATAGAATTTAGAGTGTTTTTAATTCTTGTATATAATGTGAGGGAGGGACCGTCTGTGAGTCTGCGACTCTTCTACTACTGGCGATTGCAGAGCTTACCGGAGACGTTCCAGAGCATCTGGCGGGACTGTCGGTCTGCCCGCCTGTATTTGAGTATACGCCTATACGACTATAGTCTACACTCCATAGGTATAGTTCCTTCTTCTACCAAATATTTTTCTTTCCCAATCATAATTCAATTAATTATTTTTTTATAGAGTACAGTGGCTCTATGATTTGCTCAATTAATTCCATGTGTTGTCACTTTCATATCATTTTTATGTTTTTGTTATTTTACAGGCTTATTTATACTGACCATGTATTTTTTTATTTATATGCCATTGCTATTTCAATTTTTTTTATTGTTTGACTAATTTCTATATCATCTACTGTGTTCTCTCTACACTTTGCTCATTCTTGTTCTTGCTGTTTTAATTCTTTTCATTGTTTTAAATTTTTAATTCTTGTTGTAATCCTTGCGTTTGGCTTGTTGGAGTACTTGTTTATTTGTTTTGCTTTTTTAATTTTACAATCTATGCGACACAATATTTTTATGCTAATTAAGTATGATTTCTTAAATTTACGCTCCTATATTTAATACTCCCTCCGTTCTCAAAAAGGGTTCCTAGTTTGACCAAGTGTGTAAATATAAGGAAGTGTGAAATTGTAGTTGACTTCCAATTTTGCCCTTAATGTGATGGGTAAAAGTAAGATGTGATGGATAGATTATTAGAGAAAAAATATGATGTGATAGGTAGGGTATGAAAAAGTAAGGGTAAAAGTGGTTTTTTAATAGAAAGTGGATGTGTTTTGTTAAAAGTAGAAAAAATGAAAGAGGAAGTGTTTTTGAGAACGGAGTGAGTATTTTAATATTTTTTTGCGGCCAAATCCTTGCCGTCCTCGCATTCTGTTATTTTAAAAAATGTCATTTTCCGTCCCCATCCCAATCCGAGTGCAACCTAGTCTAAAACAGTCAAGGGCTCTTGCTCATAGCAGGGTAGTGGGCTGATATATACAACCTTTTCCATGTTAACAACGTAGATATGCTGTTTCCCAATGGACCATAATGAAAATGGCATTAAAAGTTGTAGTGGCTGATTACCATTGCAGTATATAGAAGGCACATATCTCTTAATGAGCCATTTTTCTGTATTACATCGTACTCCTAAGCCTAGACGTTGCGATACATTGGATCCATCAAAATTTTGGGAAAATTTGTGGCATCTATAGACAAGAATGAAGGACTCAGTGTGAACACGTTTTCAAGTTTACAAATTGAATTATCTTAGTTTGTATAAAGATCGAGGAGATGGGTGCACATGGATGAAATGGTGATTTATTTGGTTGTGCAGACTAAGCAGAGGAAGAGGTCCAAAACAATGACGAGAACAGGGAAAACTACATCAAGGGCGAAGAAGAGGAGGCAGGTATGATACATGATAAGAAATTGCGCAACCTTTTAAAGTTTCCCTCCTAATTTATTTATAACTGCTTGAGTTTCTCTTCACACTTAAGTCTTTTATTGTTAAACAGTTGGTGCGAAAGTCTTCTGCCAGTGTTGCTGGTCTATGCATTGGTGATGTTATAATCAAATGTGGTGAAACCGAAATTGGGAGCCAGCTTGAGGTATGTCATCTTACATTATTTGTGAAACATTAGTCAAATGAATAAGTTAAACCAATGTTTCTGTCCCGTTAATTATGTGAAGTGGTCTCACTTCAAACAACCCCCTTCCCCATCTCTCTTTCAACAGCTGGTTGGTGCATTGTGGGACAAAGAAGGGAAATCAGTAAAGTTGGAAATTGTAAGACCAAGCGTAGGGCACAAAAATGTTACCTTGACTGTCGGTGCCCGGCCTGAGATGCCCAGGTAACCCCTATCTGTTCCAGGAAAATTCTTTCAAATTCTTTTTGGTTATTGTATTTGAAACATCCTTTTTCTTTGGTCTATCCGTTCTTTTTTTATTTTTTCCAGGTGGCTTCTTTGAGTGTAGGAAAATGGGCCTATCTTTTTATGAAAAGCAGCTAATTTTTGTAGGATACAACTGGGAGACTCATTTAACAAGTTTGACAAGCCGAATAAACTATGCCTTCAGGATGGGAAATATTGTTTTGGAGTGCCCAAGTACTTACCATCGCATGCCTAGTTCATCAACTTTCGATGGATTAGTGGCAACTAATTTTTTTTACAAAAAAGTCTACTTTTTTTTGGGTTCATTGACGGAGGTGGGTTTTGGTCGGGCCTTGAGGGGAGGGTTTACCGGGGTTTTTTTTTGAACGGGACATCATATGACCCGTAATTGGACCGATATCATATGGCACACAAAATGGGCGTCGCTTTAACCTTGGCGATCCAAATATAATTTATGCTAATGGCAATCCAAATGATACAGAATTTACAATAACCCCTTCCCCCCAGCACTCCTAATTTCTTTTTTAATGTATATTTCCATTTTTAGTAAGTGAAATGTAACTTGCAAGTGTCTCATTTAGTCTAATAGTATGCCTTGTGTGCTCCACATAACTTGTGGTCACACAAGACCAAGTACAATTGACTTTACAAAAATCATAACTTGAATGTTAGCAGCAAGTTTCCCGCCATTGTAATTGTAACACTCCGGCGCCACCTTGGCCGTAAGTGTCTGCTCATAAGATTGTTGGCCCCACAAATCAACATAAGTCTTTCCCGGCATTTTATCCTCACTCGTGCACGTCCAGGAAACTTCTCAGGTGGGTCACTCATCCTAGAATTGTTCTAAGTTAAGCACGTTTAACTTTGGAGTTTTTGAGAGATGAGTTTTTGAAAAGAAGATGACATTTTGTTAATATGAGTAGTACTATCAATCTTTTTTGAGCTTTTTCATTTCTTTCTCCAATTCATTTAGTTTCAAATTAGGGTATTATATTCACCCCCAATTAGGAATTCAACTTATTTGTTGCATCCTTTCTTTTAAATCTCAAGATCTTTCCCGCTATGTGAACTATGCTCGTTGGCCCGTTACAGTCACAGGGTTGCTCTGATACCATTTGTAACACCCATAGTTGTCACGGCGGCTAGGTGAGGCTAGGCGTAAGTGTACCTTCCAGTCGCCTAGGCGAATAGGCGCCCGCCTAGGCATCCCCTAGGCGAGTGGGTTACGGCGACCTTAATAATTTTATATGTAGTAATGTAAAAACATATAGTATGTAATAAGTAATTAAAGAGTGCATTGATACCGACATTATGCAAGAGAGAATTTCAAAAAACAACACAACTTAAAGTCTCAAAGTGAATAAAGCAAAAAAGAAATGTTTGAACTTTCATATCAATGTCTCTAGTTCATGGCTAATGATTCATTAATCATTAATCATCCATGAATAAGAGCTCATCACTCAACATCTCATGGGTTGTCCTTGTTGACTCCTCGTTACTCATAGTGCACCTAATGCCATAATAATCATCCACTTCATCTTCATCATTAGGAAACACTTCAACTTCAATATCTTCATTTTGTAAGCCTTCATCAGTCAATGACATTGGAGTAGATGCAATGGAAGTAGATGAAGTATGCCTACGAGAAAAAGTTATCAAATCATTTTGAGATGTTTGAGTGTTTGATCTACTGGCTGCCCTGGGCAGATTGCGACCAAGAAGATTAGTTGATGCAGCAATGGCTTCATCAACATGTGCCCATGAAAGATCACTTCTAGAATGAACTGCATCTGCATTGCTATCAACCCATTCGTTCTCCCACTGAAAATCATCGAGGCACTATGAGTTGTAGTTACTTGATTTTTCCCTTTCTTCTCGCAGCTTTTGAAACCTTGCTGCAATTCTCTGGTTATATTGGATATAAGCCAAATCATTTAACCTTTGATGCTCCAACCTATTTCTTTTCTTTGTGTGAATCTAAGGAAAAGTTTATAATTAAACATGTATAAGAAATTTAGAATAAATATTGAATATTAATAATTAGGCTAATTACTAATTAGTGGTTTGGAACTTACGAACTCAAAGGTGCTCCAATTGCGTTCACAACCAGATGAAGAACAACAAAGGCCTATGATACGCTTTGCAAACTTTTGGAGGTCTCGCGCGTCATTACCAAAAGCCGCCCACCAATCAACTACAATACGATTTTAAATATTTAAAAACCAATGTATGTAAAAAAAATTAGTATTGAGTGAAGAATATGACAATACGTACGAGGAGTTTTTGTTTTCTGTTGTTTGACTGTCAATGATTTTCCAAATGTCCCTCGTATGGAAGAATAGTCATCAGCTTGATTACTTATCTTTTCTTGTACTCCTTCATCAACAATCATTTTCTTGTCAGGTGATAGATATAATGCAGCCCCATATAGCTTTTGACCCTCCCAACGAGTTGTAACAATGTCCAAAACCTTCTTCAACATTGCTTGCTTATTTTTGAAAACATCACGGAGCTTATCTTTCGCCACGTCCATTGCCGCAGAAACCTCAGTGATAGCAGGCCTTTCATCGCCATCGACTATTCTCAACACAACTAGTATTGGTTGCGATGCCCTCAAACAACCTTCCACCCCATTTTAAAATGTGGTGGAAAGAATAATATCTTGCACATTTTTGCCTCCCTCTGTTTTAGCCAATTTGCACCTGTTCCAATCATCACAAACAAATAAAGTTCTCAAAGGATCTTTGTCCCTGTACATTGATTGCAATGTAAGAAATGATGTGGCAAAGCGAGTCACTGCAGGCTTCACGAGATCCCGTCCCCCTGTCTTCTCCCTCATTGCATCAAGGAGTCTACCATGTCGGTAGATGAATCGGGTGACACGCTTAGCACTAACAATAGTACCCTTAAGCTCTTGCAAGCCACAAATGTCTTCCATCATAAGGTCAATGCAGTGTGGAGCACAAGGTGTCCTAAATAAGGTTGGGGTTATCCCCATAAGTTGTTTCCCTGCTACCTTATAAGTAGAACCGTTATGTCAAGGAACCAACTCAACCAAAAGCTCAAGCTTGTGGTTGTGGCCTAAGAACAGTTAATTATATTCTAACACGCCCCCTCACGTGCAGGCGTAGTCTTTTTCGAGCCTTGCACGTGAAACCTTAATTTTTTTTAAACTGGGTGGCGCTGAGTTTTGAACCTGTGACCTCTTAATCAACGAGGCTCTGATACCATGTAAATTTTAACGTGAGAAAACAATAATCATTCTTGTGTGTTTATTCTTAAAAGATCTCCTCCCTTTATATAGGGTGAGAGTCCTAAAGCATACAAGGAAAACAACTCCAAGTAGGAAACAAACTCCTAAACAATAATGGGAACTAAAAGCATGGCCAAGAAAGGAAACAAACTCCCGAAGAAAATCTGCAGCATGGTGCGTGACTTGCGGCCCAAGGTTACCCACCAATACCCCCCCTCAAGCTGGTGCATGCGGGTTACGGATGCCCAGCTTGGGCAACAAACGATCAAAAGTAGGAGACGGGAGTGCTTTGGTAAAGAGGTCTGCAGGCTGATCATGAGAGGGAATATGGCATGTACGGAGTACCCCACGTTGAATTTCATCGCGAACGAAGTGGCAGTCGATCTCAATGTGTTTTGTCTGTTCATGAAAAACGGGGTTAGCAGCAATGTGAAGGGCGGCCTGGTTATCACAATAAAGCGTCATAGGAGATGTGTGCCGTATGCCAAGAGAAAGAAGAAGATAGTTTAACCACTTGAGTTCACAGACCGTCGTTGCCATAGCTTGATATTCAGCCTCAGCTGAAGATCGGGAAACTGTGTGTTGCTTCTTTGTACGCCAGGATACCGGAGAGTCACCAAGTTTAATAAAATAGCCTGTAACAGAACGCCGTGTGAGGGGGCAGCTAGCCCAGTCGGAATCACAGAAAGCGGTGAGAGTAAGGTTGCAACGAGCCGGAAGAAATAAGCCTTGTCCCGGCTGCCTCTTGATGTACCGGATAGTGTGCAGGGCAGCATCCCAATGTTCTCGTTTTGGAGATCCCATGAATTGAGACAGTGTATGGACGGCGTAGGCGAGGTCGGGACGGGAGATGGTGAGATAAATGAGGCGACCGACCAACCTGCGATATTGACCAGCTTCAGCGTGACCGAGCTCGGCCCCAGAGGCTAATGCAAGACGGTGGTTGACTGGAAGAGGTGCCACTGCCGGGCGTGATCTGAGCATCCCCGTTTCTGTCAGAATGTCCAAAGAGTATTTGCGCTGGCATAAGAAAATCCCATGGGAACTGCGGGCAACCTCAAGACCCAAAAAATATTTTAAAGACCCCAAATCCTTCATGTGAAAACAAGTAGATAAGAAATGCTTGAACCGAGCAATGGACTGTTCGTTGTCACCGGCGATGACCAAATCATCAACATAGATAAGGACGCGAAGTTGAACACCCCCTGTCGAAAATAAATAAGGAATAGTCGGCCTTTGATTGAACGAACCCGAACGAACGCAAGGCAGAAGTCAACTTGGCAAACCAACATCGCGGAGCCTGACGTAAGCCATATAAAGATTTGTGGAGCCGACAAACCAAGCCTTGTTGACGTGCGGATGACCCTGGGGGTAGACTCATATATACCTCATCATCGAGGTCGCCATGGAGGAAAGCATTATGGACGTCCATTTGGTGCAAACTCCAGTTTCTAGCGGCAGCCACCGCGAGTAGCACACGAACAGTGACCAATTTGGCGGTGGGTGCAAAGGTTTCTTTGAAGTCAATGCCTTCCTTTTGTTTATTCCCCAACACAACTAAACGCGCTTTATAGCGCTCAATGGTCCCATCAGACTTGTGCTTGATCTTGAAAACCCATTTGGAGCCAATGGTTTTCTTTCCCAGTGGAAGAGGCATGAGTGTCCATGTTTTATTAGCTTCCAGGGCTTGAATTTCCTCAGCCATGGCTCGTCTCCAGTGGGCATGTTTAACTGCTTCGGTATAATGAGAGGGCTCCACCTCGGAACTGATCGCTGCCAAAAAAACTCTATGCGACAAAGAAAAATTGTCATAATTAACAAAATTTGTAATACAGTAATTCGTACCTGAAGACAAGCTCGGAGTCGGGGAGGCGCTCGAGGGTCCTTGAATAGCATGGACAACAAAGTCACGGAGTCGGGTGGAGGGTTGTTTGTCGCGGGTACTCCGGCGTAAAGGGATGGGTTCAGGACTGGTTTTGGGTTGAGGAGGGATGGATTCGGGGCTGTTTTCTGTGATGGGTTCAAGGCTGTTTTCGTTGACTGGTGTAGGGCTGTTTTCGGGTGTGTGTTTGCTGGCAGGGCTGTTTTCAGGCTGTGGCATGGTGCGAGATGATGGCAGATCCTCGTCGTCGTCAACGAGAGGAGGGTCGGCCGTGTTGTCCGGGGGTACGAAGGAAGAGGAAGTATGGAACGGGAAATGATCCTCAAAGAATTGGACGTCTTGACTTGTAAAGATTTGAGATGTTTCTAAGTCGAGCAACCGCCAACCCTTTTGGCCGAAGGGATAACCAAGGAAAACACATTTTCGAGATCGGCTAGCGAATTTGTCACCACGATGGTTTTGATTATGGGCATAGGCTAGACAACCAAAAGTTCGAATGTGAGTGTATGACGGAGAATGACCAAGGAGAACTTCATAGGGTGTCTTATTGTGAAGGATTGGAGTAGGTGTGCGGTTTATTAAGTAACCGACAGTGAGAATGCAGTCCCCCCAAAATTTGATGGGTAAATTGGCTTGAAAACGCAAGGCACGCGCCACGTTTAAGATGTGGCGGTGTTTACGTTCTACACGCCCGTTCTGCTGTGGGGTTCCTACGCAGGAGGTTTCAAACAAAATGCCATGGGATTGAAAGAAAGGACGCATACAAGTGAACTCTGTCCCATTATCACTGCGTATGACCTTGACTTGTTTTTCAAACTGTCGTTCAACCATTGTAAAAAAATTCTGAAGAACAGATGGGGTCTCGTCTTTGTGATTCAACAGATAAACCCATACTGCCCTAGAGAAATCGTCTACAATGGTCAGGAAATATCTTGCCCCAGTTCTAGACGCAGTTCTATATGCACCCCATAAATCACAATGAATTAAAGAAAAAGGAATAGATGATTTATTAGAACTATCTGGGAAAGACTCGCGACATTGTTTGGAGCGAAAACACACATCACAAGGAACACTGTCTACAGAAATTTTAGGTAAAGAAACATGAGGTAAAGAATTAAGAACGGAATAGGAAGGGTGTCCCAAACGCTTGTGCCATGTACCCACGTCGTTTTCCTTCCTCACGACGCACGCCTTGTTGAGCACGCCAGTCTGAAGGAAATATATACCCCCTTGTCGCCTACCCGCTCCAATCACTGTCTTCGAGGCATAATCCTGTATAAAAGAAATTTTATCAATAAATTGAACAATTAATCTTTTATCGTAAAGGAGTTGAGAGACAGAAATCAAGTTGCAATTTAGTTTAGGCACGAGTAGAACATCAGCAAGAGTGAGTGCGGCACTCAGCCTCACACGGCCTTTCTTAGTGGCAGCAACACTTTCACCATCTGGAAGGGTAACGGAGCAATGTTTTATGTGCTCAATGTCGGTCAAAAATTCCTCGTTCCCCGTCATATGTTGACTTGCGCCACTGTCTATGATCCAAGAGGTAGTAATATTACCTGAAAATTTGTTTTCTAGAGGAATATCCTTTTCTTTCAACAGGTTCATCAAAGTGCTCCATTGCTCGGATGTGAACCCGTCGTTTTCACTGTTTCCCTTCTCTGTACGGGCTGTGTGAGCCGCGGCAGTAACTCCGAAACCAGCTCCAGTGGTCCGGTTGCTTCGTCCGCCCGGCGTCCCAGTTCTGCCGCCCCCTTGCCGTCCTCCTCCGCTACCGTTTCGGGCTCCTCCTCGTCCGCTGTTTTGTCCTCGTGGCCTATCTCCCCACCATTCCGGGTAGCCAATTAACTGAAAACAGCCGCTGATTTCATGTCCGGTTATGCCACAGTGTTTGCATCTAACATCTCTAGTTATGTCTCGGTTTGCACGATCCCGATCCACACGATCAACCACGGCAAAACTGACTGTGTTTTTCTCCTCTTCTTGGGCGGTCACTTTGAGAACGCCTTCTTGTTGTATAATTGTTGAATAGACACGGTTGAGAGGAGCGATCGGAATTGTGCTTAGAATGTTAGAGCGTACGCTGCTATAACCATCATTTTCGAGGCCCATTAAGAACTGGTGCACCTTCTCATCCTCCTTTTGTGTTTCGATCATCTTGATGGTTCCGCACTTACACGCACGGCATTTCGCGCATACAGGCAGTTTCTCAATGCTTCCCAACTCGTCCCATATGCTCTTCATTCGGCCAAAATAAGAGGCAATGGGTTGCCCATTCTGTCTACAATTCGCCAGTTCCTTCTTGAGCTGGTTGACACACGGTCCGTTTGCCACCGAGAACCGTTCTCGGATGTCGTTCCATAATTGGGCAGCTTCTTCGACTTGTGTGATGGAGTTTCGGAGTGAACCATCAATGGTGTTAAAGATCCAAGACACCAACATGGCGTTCACGATCCACCATTCCTCAGCTTTTTCTTCGTCGTCTTCAGGCAAGGGAATCGACCCGTCGACGAAGCCAAATTTCCTCTTGGCACGGAGTGCGATGCGCACGGCCCGTGCCCATTCTTCGTAGTTGTCTCCACTTAATTTGATCTGTGTAATCACCAACGCGGGGGTATCCGCTGATTTTAATTCATAAGGGCTTACCTTTATGATTTCTTCTTCGCCGGAGCCTTTTGAAAAAGGGTTTTCCGATGATATCTCGGCCATGGTGTTTCGATCGGACCAGATCTACCGCTTTGATACCATGAAAAGGAACCAACTCAACCAAAAGCTCAAGCTTGTGGTTGTGGCCCAAGAACAGTTATTTATATTCTAACACGTTATCAGTCACCACTTGCACAACCTTATCCCTCCCAATTTCTTCTATTTGTTTGTCCAACAAATTTGTCAACAAAGTCGCATCATGAGATTCACTCGGAACCCAAAAAATGTCCCCTCCGAACTCTTGACTAGAAAGTTGATCAAGTGGCGACCCCATTTATTCGTCCATCCATCCGACATAAGCGTGCATACTCTTTCCATGCAATCTCGTGCGTCTCTTTTAGTTTGTCTCTCTTCTTTGACCCGTTTTAAGAGAGGCACTCACAAATCATGGTATGAAGGAGGCTTTAGTCCAGGACCGTATTGCCCAATGGATTCAATCATTATCTCATATGCCCTTGAATTTGCAACATTGAAAGGTATGCCACATTCATAAAAAAAATCTGCTATATGCATGTAAACTCTATCCTTCTCTTCTTGGGTCCTTGTAACTTCTTCAAGTGTTTGTTGTTGTGGTCCTTTACTATGTCTGTCTGCGACTACTTCTTCAGGAGTCTTTCTGATCATGCTTGTAATTGACTTCGTGACGTTCTGTGTTGGCTTTGCAAAATCCATCATAGTTCGTTTTCTTTTTGCAGCAGTTCCTGAGCTAGGTTTGGGCGCTGTTTCTGTGAGTGTGCTACCCGAAATTGGTACTTCACTCCCATTTTGATCTTCTTTGTCCAACACAATGGTCTTATTTCTCTTATTCGACTTCAAGTAGGCATCCATCTGTCTCCTGATTGAAGTGGTAGTCTTTTGGCATAAAACAACATCTCCATATCCTCCGGCGAGATGTTGTTTGAATCACTTGATTCCCCCGCGAATTGGCCGATCACATAAGATGCATTGAATTGAATCACATCCTTATTACATAATTCGGCCAAAAACCATATTCCCATCCTGGATCATTGGAGCTGGCCTTGTTCTTTGGATTCTTCGATGGGTCATCATACTCATCATTTGCGTAAGGTTCGGCCATTAAGAATCTGAAATATATGAATAAATATTGTTTGAAAAAATAAATTTAAAAAGATACTAAAAAAAGTTAAGTGCCAAAAGAAGAGGAGAGAGTAAAAAAAGGATTAAAAAAAGTCTATCCTGGAAAAGTACTCTCTACCGATAAGTACTCAAACAAATAGGTTCCAAAAAATATATAAAAACTGAATCTAAGGCTATGCAAATGTATCGGAACCTTAAAGAAACAAAAACAATTGAAGCAGAGAAAGAAATAGAATTAAGACCTGTTGGTTGTTGACTGCCTAGATGCGCCGATCGTTCCTTTCCAGCGATGCCCTTGATGCGTCGATCGTTGGAGATAGATGAGGAAACTCAGCCGCGACGTTGATGCAGAGAATCGGAAAAGAAGATGCAAGAGAGAGGTTTATCGAAAGTGGAGCAGTAGACTCGAAGGTATGTTGACCGGCTAGGTTTTATTTGGTTATCGCAAGTGGGCTTTTAATTTTTTTAAAAAAATTAACGCTGGGCCCAGTTGCCTAATCGCAGCTTCCAGATGCCAAAAGGATGCCATGGTTGCCCAGGTAAAAAAAAAGGTAGGCGTGAGGTTAGGCGTCCATATCACCTCGCCCAGACCTTGATAAGTATGGTAACACCCCGGCCCCACCCTGATCGTATGTGTCTGCTCATAGGATTGTAAACTAACCCCACAAACTAACACAAGTGCGCACTTCCTCGTGCACGCCTAGGAAACTTCCCAAGGGGTAACCCATCCTAGAATTTCTCCAAGTGAAACACGCTTAACTTTGGAGTTTATGATTGATGAGCTCTCGAAGAGAAGATGCATTTTGTTGGTATGAGTAGTACTGTCAATCCTTTTTGAGCTTTTTCTTTCTCCAATCCATTTATTTTCAAATCAAGGTATTACAGTAATTGCAAGGAGTTTTAATTCCCTTGCAAAGGCCATCGCACAAATTAGCAATGACATCAGCCGTTGTAAATGCTATTGTATTGTACACCGAAAATTGGGGCATCACAAATTTGCAAATTTCTTGTAGTTTATTTTGAATTTCTTGTAGTTTGAAACATTGTTTTAAGGGTTTCTAAAATGACCATTTTTAGACCTAGTGTTCCTTCTGGGTGGTCTAGTATTCTTAACAATCCTAAGTTGCCTATTAGGATTAGTTTTAGTTATCCTAGGCTGAGCCTTAGTTGTTTAGTTATTAGATCAACCTTTTCCTTGTCATTACTTTCATTTACAAAAACTATTCCATTTTTAGAAGATTACAACTAATCAAGAACATTATTGAGATTTGTGTGCAAAGTATTAAACTTCTTTAAAGTGCCTTCGCATGTTTTGCATTTTTCTCTTTGAGTAATATGCAAGATTCATATTTTGAAATCTCGGATTGTCGGTGCTTTTTTATGAAAAACTTAGTTTCTTCTTTTAGTTTTTCATTATCTTTTGTAAGTTTTACAATTTCTTCCTCCAAGGAGGAAAATTGCTTCTTCAAATATTTGTTGGTTATGGAAGCATTTACAAATTCTTCATAGAGTTAATCAAAAGCATTTTGCACATCATCAAATTACCAAAATTCCATGTTACCCCAATTTTTTAGTTTTAAACAGCAACCAAAACAAATTAGAATTCAAACCACTTACACTTCGATTCCTCAACTTCACCAACATCCTTCTGTTAAGATCTTGTGGCGGCTCACTCACGAAGTTATTTTCCTTCTCCTTGACTAATCTCCAAGACACTGAACTCCCTGCCATGGCTAACAAACTCTTCTCAATTCAACGCATATGTATTGCGGAAACGACATTCCCCCAACCTAATGACCTCCGTACCACTCTAAAACTCCAATTACCCAAGGAAAGAAAATCTCCATGCAAATCGGTATTGGTTTGTTTCCTTCGCCGTTTGGAGTCTCCGTAAACCTAACGTCGTAATAGCCGCCATTCCCTTTTTTGTTTTTTTTATGTTTTTAAATTAAGTTGGAAAGTCAAGAAAATTACTGTGACAATGTTTTAGTATCTTCTCTACAGCATAGTTGTTTGATTTGTTTGCATATCTTTCAATTGGTGATTTCCGCTGTGCCCAACGAATTTACAAGAACAAATTACAACACTTTCACTCTGAATTTTTTCTACAACCAATTTCAATTCATGGTTTTCATCTATATAATTTTAATATAATAAACTAAGATAATTTGTCTAGTAACTTAAATTTATGCTCGTATTTTTTAAATTCTAATAAAGACATAAATCAAGACAATTTATTTACAAAATTACCCTATTATATATATCACAAACTTTATTTAGCATTTTCTGATTTATAATTAACCTATTTACGAAACAAACTAGGCCAAATTGCCAAATAGCTCTGGTGCCCCTGTAGTATTAAAATTGGCACCAATATCCCTCCTGTTTTCAAAACTTGTTTCTAAAGTCTCCGTGGTTTCAAAACGTTGCACACACACCCTCTTTGATCATTTTCCGGCAAAAAGGGGCATTGGCGCATAATTTCTAAACCATGGGGGCATTCATGCTCATTCCTTATTTTCATTTATTATTTGTGTTTTCCTTTTTTGATAATATTTTCTATCTCCTTTTCCTTTTCCTGTAATTGTTTTTAAAAAATATTTTCAATTTTTTATAATGTTTTAAAAATTTTAAAACTCTTTCTGTTTGAAATAAAAATAAAAATAAAAAAATTAACATACATTACATCTATCTCAAATTAAATATTTTCACTTTTTGTTACATAGAATAATTTTTTGGAAAGTTAAAAAAATCTTGAATAAAAAAATAAAAATATGGAAAAACAAAATGAAAAAATTAAAATGCGCAAAAAAGTCTTATACAAAAAAATTTGGACATGCCTAAAAAAGTCCTTAGAATTGAGATGTCCTAATTGGATATTCATTTTTATTTTTGTATTATTTTGTTTCTTATTCTACTCCTCATTTTTTTTATGTTCTGAAAAAAATTACTTTTTTCTCTGAAGAAACAAAAATTGTTAATTTGAAACGTACATATGCATTATATGTTATTTTTTAAAAAAAAATAACTTTAAATTTCAAGAAAATTATAAAAATAATTTTAAAATCATCCCTGATACCCCATATAGTATTGATAAAATATGCATCAATGCCTCCCTTCTTCGCCGTAAAAATGGATGGAAAATGCTTAGAGGGGCACAAGTGCAGAATTTTGAAACCACATGGACTTTGAAAATAAGTTTTGAAAACATATACTCCCTCTGTCCCTGAAAACCTTTCTCCTTTCTTTTTTCATCCATCCCAAAAAACACTTCTCATTTCTATTAAAAAGTCACTTTTACTCTTTACTTTTTCATACCCTACCTATCACATCATACCTTTTTACTAATAATCTATCCATCAAATCTTACTTTTACCCATCACATCAAAGGGCATTTTTGGAAATTCAATACCAAAATACACGCTCATTAAATCCCTCTTCATCAAAATCAAAACTCTCATGTTTTCCGGGACGGAGGGATTAAGATATTGCCCGTTTTGCAAACCACGAGGGGTACTGTTAGAGTATAAATAACTCCTCTTGGGCCGCAACCACAAGACTGAGCTTTTGGTTGAGTTGGTTTTTTGACATGGTATCGGAGCCTTGTTAACTAAGAGGTCACAGGTTTGAAACTCTCCGCCATAAAAAATTTAAAGTTTCACATGCAAGGCTTGAAAAAGACTACACATGCACATGAGGGACGTGTTATAATATAAATAACTCCTCCTAGACCACAATTACAAGTTTGAGTTTTTGGTTGAGCTACCGGCGCTATTTGGCCAAACAAACTATGTATGCCATATTTATTATTTAAAAACATGAAACTACTTTGTAGTTTCACTTGAATAAAAAAAAGTACGGTTACGGTTGCCTAAAAAAGTTTTAGTACATCAAAATAAAACAAAGCTTGAATATATGGCATAAAAATAAAAACTTGAAAGGGGTAATAAAAAGTTGATTATGAAATGAAAGCTAAAATAAGACTTTCCCATGTAGATTCCTCACTTCTTTTTTGCTCTCTTCTTTTCTCATTTCATTTAAATTAATTTTCTTTTCTCACATATGATCTTCTCACACTTTCTTCTTTGCTAAAAACTTACTACATTAGCATCATTTTTTTATTATGGTCATATTTCCCTCAATATCATCAATTTTTATGTCATGCCATTATGCTCAACTAGTGTCTTCCTCGTGCTTCGCACGGGCTCGTATATTTTTAGATAAAATATATCTATAAATTTTATATTTCATTTTTAAAAATTGTAAAATTAAAAATAAATTAGAATATGTATTGAAGTCAATATGCAACACTGCACTACCAATATATAAAACATGTAAATATATTTTATATACGCGTGTACACATGAAAAAATTCTTTTGATATTTCTTGTGTGTGTACACATAAAATTGTAATATTCTTACGTAAAATATGTTTATAAATTTTATATTCCATTTTAATAAAATGTGAAATTAAAAATAAATTTGTGCTTCATAGGGATGGGCGCGATCCAACACGGTCCGTGATACTACCGGAACATATCACGGAAAATATATACGGAGTATATGTATTTTATATTTCTTTTTTTAAAAAATTTGAAATTAAAAATAAATTCGTGCTTCACACGGACTCGTATATTCTTATGTAAAATATATCTACAGAATTTATATTTCATTTTTTAAAAATGTGAAATTAAAAATAAACTTGAATATGTATTAAAGTTGATATGCTACTATTGATATATAAAACATGTAAATATATTTTATACATGTGTGCATATATGAAAAAATTCTTTTGACCTACTTATAGCTGATTCTCTAGATTTCTTATTTCGGAGATCTGTTAATATTTCTCGACTAAATGGTTGAACTCATTTCAACCTCGTCTACTATCTATTATGTTTTTATACACTTTAACTCACCCAAATATATAATTTTGATTGTTAACTTTTAAATATAATTTTTTTGTTAGAGTTTGAAAAATTACTTTTTTTAAAAATTTCAAACTATTCTTATACGCGAAATTTACTAATTTTGAAATAGTTGCAAAATAGATTTAATAGTTACACAGAAAATAAGTTATCAATATATCCAAAATATAATAAGATAAACATACAAACCCAAATACATTTGAGAATTATTGAATAAAATCATGAACATGTCAACTTAAAATAATAATTTTAAAATCAACCATGCACTAAATCAATCCCTACTTAGTATTTTTAAATGATAACATGCATATATTGAAATGAAAAACAATTATTCTAAACTTCTCTCAAATTAAATATACTCTGTATTTTCTATCGCATATATCTTATAAATATTTATAATCATATAAAAGCAAATTATGCATAAAAATATATTTTAAAAACATTATACTTAGAAATTAAAAAGAAATAAAATTGTGTACACACTTTTTTTTATTTTTTTGAACATGACCCTTCAATATTAAACATTTTTACATTTTTTATATTTAAATCAATAATTAAGTAGCCATGTGGTATCCAAGTGGACAAATGAAAAGATGACACCTTTAAAGCCTAGATTATGTGGCGTGACACATGGCGCAACCACATTTAATCCACTTTACTTTATATATATACATATGATATTTTGAGTGATATCATAATATTTGTGAGGAGAATGAAAAGAGAGCAATATTTGTGAGCTCACAAGTCACAAGTACGAATCACTCAAAATATGGTACCATCTCTTTAGGGAAGATCCTTTTCTTCCTTTACGTCATTTATTGATCTCTTTTTTTCTTTGTTTCAAAATATTTATTGTGAAGATATAAAGGCATTTATGTCAGCTCTCCACTGAGGAGTGAGGAGTGAGGAATGGATGCCAGCTAGCTGGGTTTTACAAATTCAACTAGTAGTTATTATTTCCAAATTTTTTTATCAATCCCAAATTAAATTACTTATTTACTGTTTATAGGGTAACTTTATTTATTGTTTTATTTTCGTTAGTCATTTGATAAAATTATATAATCATATCATCATTAGTTTTATAGATATTTTGATGTAATTTTTAAATATGTAATTTTATTTTTTAAATATATCCCGTTTTCATTTAAAATGATTTAAAAGTATTTTCAGTCAAATATCGTAAAGCAAAACATGCAATTTAAATTGGGACGAAGAGAGGAAAAAGAACAACAATTTCATTTTCATAATAAACACACCAAATCAGAAGTAATTTTAATTTGAGACAATTGTGATCAGAAAGAAAGAAAAAAAAAGCACATCAATTGATTTCGACTCTTTTTTATCAGTATCAATTCCTTTCCATTTTAATTTCAAGCATATTTTACATGATGAAGTTCTCGTCCTACAACAGTCGGAAGTTCATATTTCTCATCAACGTTGCGAAGACCCCAAAAAAGATAGAAATTTCAAATGTTTGTGCAGCTTTATTAGCCATCGACCAACCACCAGTTCCTCATGCCTCTTATTTCAAAGTGCGGATGTAGCCGTTAGGGGTGTTCATTCGGATATATCCGATTTGATCCGATTTTGTTTTTCGGATATTCGAAATTTTTGGATCGGTAATATCTATTTCATATCCAATCCACAAATTACTGGATACCCGAATTTCAGATGTTTAAAATTTCGGATCGGGTCAATAGAATATCAGGAAAAAAAATTATATTTTTTTTTGAATTTTAGTTTTTCCATTAATTCTAAATAAATATTCTGAATGATTTTTTATTTGTTTAAATAGTAGAGATCATAAATAAGAATTGAATTCGAAGTCAATTCTATAATTTAAGTCATAATTACAAGTAAGTAATTATTTGTAAAAAAATATTAATTATTTGTGTTGTCATTAGTCACTAGGGTTGTGACCTTTCGATATATGTATAACTGGTGTAGTAAAGTATCTGACAGACAAGGTAGTAGTAGTAGTGGACATAAGATTAGTTTTCACTTGAGTACTCCCTCTCTCTCAAATTGAGCTTCCTACTTTTACTTACACAAAATTTGTGGTTTAGATTTGTGGGGTTCAATTAGGAGTGGACACGGTACAGTTCCGGGACGGTACCGGTTCCGGAACCGCCGGTTCTAGTAACGCCACCCCTTGGTACCGGTACCGGTACCGGACCGGCCGGTACCGGTTCCGGTTCCGGTACCGCCGGTTCCGGTACCGTTTTGGCCACCCCTAATTTATTTTTTTTACTTTTTTATTAAATTTTTAAAATGTAAAATTGTAAATGTGTAATTGTTAAAGGAAAGGATGAAATAGAAAATCTAAAAATGAAATTGATAAAGGAAAGAATGAAATAAAAAAATAAAAATAAAAAAAATTAATAACGGTACCGGAACCAGAACCGGAACCGCCGATGCCGGTACCAAAAAATAGGCACCGGAACCGGTACCGGATTGGGCGGTACCGGTACCGGTTCCCAGAACCGGTGGACCGTACCAGCCGACGGTAACGGTACCGAAACCGGCGGTACCGTTTCCGGTCACGGTACCGTACCGGTACCGTGTCCACCCCTAGGTTCAATTGAAGGAGGTAGGGGGCGGTTCGGGCTGGGAGGGGGTTAGGAGCAGTAAGAAGTAGGAATCATCAATTTTTCGAACGAAGCACCGTAGGACTCCTGAATTATCCCATTACATTGGTAGCAATGCCACACAAACCAAGCCAATAAAGTACATAAAATACATGAAAGGTGATTCCTCACTAAAATTGGTTTGGCTTGTCACAGTGTAATTTTGGAAATGAGTGTGGAGTAAATAATTGGGTAATAGATGGTTTTCACGAACCTTTTTTGTAGGTTCCTCTCATCTTGGGTATGTGGGGGAGGCAAAGGTCAAGAGAAGACTTTTTCTCATTGCGAGCTTGTCTTTAGGAAAATGGGAATCAAGTGAGCTTTGCTTCATTTTGATGGACAAAGGCTATGTTTGGCAAATAGAATAGACATAATTAGGGGTGTGAATTATTCGGTCCAAACCCAGACCGATCCGAAGCTATGCCAAAACCGGACCACACCGGTCCTTATTCAGTCCAGTCTTCAGTCATCATTTTTTCCTTATTCGGGTTCCTCGTCCAGTCCACCAGGATTCAGTCCGGACCGATGGACAGGTTACATTTTATTTTTTTAAATATTTGTTTCTATATAGTTTTATAATATAATTTTTTAAAGTTTTTTCTTATACTTAAAATTAATTTAACTTTAATACTAAAAGTTTTTCAAAAGTTTTGATTTTATTATTTAATATATTACAATTTGATATAAGATACCAATTTTAATGATTTTTAAATATATTTAATATGAAAAGTGTGAAAAAAGTAAATATTACCATTTATATTAGCTATCTAATACATTTTAAATTTATGTACCAATACTATAACTTAAGTTGATACTTTATCAATGATGAAACTCTAATCAACAAAAATAAACATTGTAAACAACCAAAAACAAAAAATAAATTACAAAAAAAGCAAAAATATAGTAAAAAGAAGAATATTTCCTATGTAAAATAAAAATTACAAACAAATTTTATGTACGGAGTAATACGGATGAAGTATATATATTTTATTTTAAGTTTTTAAAAAAATTAAAAGAACAATGTTTGAGAATGTTTAGTTTATGTTACATACTAAAAATTAATTATAGTACGAGTAATATTCTTATACAATTGAATACTTTAAATTAAATAAATAAAATCAAATTAAAAAATCACATTTATACAGTCTGTTCCCTGGTTTCACCGATCTAGTCCCAGTCCGGTCCTTACCTTAATCAATCCGTTCCTCAATGCACAAAATGCTTCTTATTCGGTCCCGGTCCAAGTTTGACCCGATGAACACCCCTAGGCACAATAGACTTATTTGACTATTAAATATTTTAAGTCGTGCTTGGTGAATACTAAATACCATTTCAAGTATCTAAAGTTAGTAGAGCTATCCGAAATACAATAAGTTAAGCTAAGCTGTCTCAAATACAATAAGTTGAGTTGAGTGATTTTACAAAAAAAACTAGCCACCTTTTCTAGTGTTTTTGCCAAACACAGCATAAGAAATATTAAGAAATATAGGGATGTAAACAGAACTACCACACCATTCTTGAACAATCAATATATGCTTAATATTGAAAACTCTTATCCCAAAAATGATGCGTGGTGGAGAATTGGAAAGTGGAAATGCTGATGAGCTAGCTAAGTTATAATAGTAATAAGGCAAAGGTACCGTAAGGTAGCAGAAATAATCCAAGAAATCAAAATTAACATGACAACTCTTCCTTGATCTCATCCAAATGGACTCCATAGTCACTGTCTTTGTAGGTGAAACTATACACCCCTACAATGTCACCATTTCCATTCAAAAAAGGTGCGCCAGTTCCACCAACTCTACCACCTCCATGAACATTCTTAGCCTGTACAAAGTGTAGGGACGAGGACAACCCCAAGAAATCATCAACAAACCTAGGATCAGGCTTCTTATTGAATCTGGGCTCGTTAGACAGAAATAGCTCATTTCTATATATATCACCGCAAGTCTTACTCACACAACAGATTCTTCCAATGTTATAAGCAAAACATTTTCTGTCGGGGTGACCAATGAAATGAATTTCCATACCTACGTCAATCTCTTCATCACTTAGTTTCAGACAAGGAAATTCATCCCCATTTCCACCTATGATGCTCACCACTGCCAAATCTTTATCCCTCGACATTTTCACAACATCAAAGTCAAATGACCTCTGATCATAACACCGAATCTTTAAGCCACTTCTGTCGTATAAAACATGTGCAGCAGTTAGCACAAATTGTCGAGACCCAACTTGAAAAAAAACTCCTCCACCTACAACTTCACCCTCCATCTGAAAATAGGCGATACTATGCTTTACTCTCTCATACAATCTGCTTCTTTGCTCCTCACTTGAGTCTCCTAGTGACATTCTTACACTAAAATAAATCTAACACACGTTGAAATGGAATTGTTAGGGCCTTGGATTGGATGTAATGGCAAAGAAACAACAAATTAATATCAATTGTATGTGAATCACAAATCAAACAAAATAAGAACTTGACAAGTAGTAACAAAGAAGGCAAAGGTAAGAAATAATACTCAACAGCAGAGCTGAAAATAGAAATGCAATTTACACCATGCAAATTTAAACATAAAATCATGTATGTTTGCAAAGTTTGGAACAAAGACCACCAACAATAATAGGTCAAACTAAACAACAGATCATAGTTGTCATAGAGCCAAGGCGACGCATGGCGCCAATGTACCACGATGACGCCAATGTATCGCCATGACACCTATGTGACAATTAGGTGACGTAGGCTGCAACACAAAAAATCAAGATTGGTATACATTAGTAACACTAAGTAATACTAAAATAAATATAAACATATGCACTCTCTAAACCTAATCAATATTTTTCAAATACCCAAACTAAAAATAACAAATAAACACATCATAATATGAAAAAAACAAGAATATCAAATACAAAATATGATTAAGAGCCATTTGGGATTTTTTAGTGCAAAGTAGAAAATGTGTATGAAAAAAATTATTGAATAAAAGACAAAGAATTTTCAAAAGATGACGCCTAAACTTTCTAAATCTTATTATGGATTGTTGATCTTGCACATACGAAATCAAGATTGGTATACATTAGTAAAACAAAGTAATACTAATATAAACTAGGTGTGAAAAAAATACTGACTAAAGGACAGAATTTTCAAATGGTGATGCCTAGACCTTCCAAATCTTATCACAGATACCTGATCTTGCACAGTTGCACCAATGTGGTATCTAACAAGTTGGCACACAATCTAAAGTTGGAAATACGGGAACATCCTACACCTCACAAATTAAATTGCTTGAATGACAAGAGTTTTGTTGGTGTAAAAAAGCAAATTTTGCTTTCATTCAATATTGGGCCACATGAATGTTTGTCATATACTATTGGGAAGACCATGACAATATGATCGAGACATGACACATAAAGTCAAGACTAATGTGTATGAAGACAACAAAGTAGGTGAATGTTACCATCTTAAACCACTACCACATAAAGTGGGAAAGAATAATGTGTAGGAGTATGTGTGGCAGAAGCAATGGTCTACTAGTGGGAAAGTATTGTGTCTTGTTCAATACTTTAAGCAACGAAGATTTGAGACCACATCTTTTCAAAGAAAGAAAAATGATGTGGAACAAGAAGCTGTCCCCTAAAGTACTAGTACGTAGCAATACGATTGTCACGATGGCCATGTGGAAGGAACAAAATATGGTAGTTTCCCTAGAGGACATATCATAAAATCTGTGCAAACTAATATTCAATAAATCTTGTTTGAGAAAAAGTACTTGGCATGGGGACTCAAAAAGGTGAAAACTATGAAAACTACCAAACCATGTAGAAACAATGTATGAACAGATCTCAACTACAATACATGATGCCAAATCAATCGCAAACACTACACGACCCACCCAATTAGCCCACAATGGCCATTACAATCTAAAAGCAATAGGCAATTGGATTCACATTAAACCCTTCATTTTATTCCCAAGATTCACCTAAGCAATGTATTAACAGATTTGAACAACAATACTTGATGCCAAATCAATCGCGAACAATACACAACCCACCCAATTAGCGCACACATGTATACGGAATGAACCGAAAATTAAATTGGCTTGGTCCCCTCTATCCTAATTCCTGATCAATAGGCAATTGAATTCACATGAAACCCTTCATTTCATTCCCAAGATTCACTAAAACAATGGCCATTACAATCTAAAAGCAAGTCACAAGTTCCCAAAAAAGCAAAGATGATAGGTCGACAACATAAAAAGATCACACAAATAAGCAATTTCAGCCACAGCACCATCGCAACTCGCTCCTCCCCTTCTCTAACAAAACCGCCCAAAACAGTCATTGCACGCAATCTCAAGCACCACACCACTCACTTTAACGATCTACACTGTCAACTCCTTCTCCATATTCCACCCAAATAACAGGGAAACTCATAAAAATTAAACAATGACACTTAACTAATCAAGGATGACAAGTAAAGCAAAACGACGCACATAAGATTCCATATTCGTTCTTTTACATTGAACTTGATCAGATGTGCACCCAAATCACGTCCAAATACAATTCGAGACCAGAACCCGTCCGTCTGAATTGCCTTTGAAGGTGATTATCAGAATGTGCGGGAGCTAAGAACTCAGAAGCAGAAAGTGTTTTCAGATATCTGCTTTTTTCCGCAGCGAGAGTGTGGGAGGTGTTCGTGGGTATACGAAGTTTTTCGATTTGAAATTTATTTATCACAAGTTTTTTTTTATTATTTTATAAATGTTTATTTCAACCCTTAGAATATACTCGGCTGGAATACTTGTTTAACTTAGGATCCGTTTGGAAACCGGGAAAATAACCTGTGGAAAATGACTTCCGGAAAATGAGTTATTTCCCTGGAGTCATTTTCCTTTTTTGTTGTTTGGCTTAAATTATGAAAACTGTCTATTTCTGTTTGGACCATTTTCCAAAAAAATGAATACCCCTTTGTCCACTTTGATTCTTCCTAGTTTGATTTTCATGGTTGACAAAAATAATGTATTGGAGAAAATTTCTCAATTGTATGGTGTCCTTTATCCATGTTGCTATACATAAATATCCAAATGAGTGAAAATGATTCACAACCTTTAAGCTTTAGAAAAATAGAGTGAAAACAAAAATGAAGAACCAAAACTGATCTAAAAATGATTCAGAAGAAGCAACAATAGCAATTGCAAATTTGCAGCAAATTAAACACCACCACAATTCCTATACAAAAAATACAACATTTTACAATGAGGAATTATACAAAAAACATAAAATCCTATAATCTATAAAATTAATCAGATTCTTCAGAAAATACAAAAAAGAAACTAAAAAGGAGAAACCGAGAAGGATACACAAGAGAGAATTAGGGAGGCGAGAATTAGAAAGGAGAGAGAAAAGGGATTAGTCATACCTGGAACAAAGAAGGGAGAAATCGAACAGGCCGGATCGGATGAAGAAGTTTAGAGACTTGCGGTGGAAGATGACCGACAGAGTTGAGCGAAGAGGAGGAAGTGGAAAATGACTTCCTGATAAAGAGGAAACAAAAATGAAGAACCAAACTTGATCTAAAAATGATTCAGAAGAAGCAACAATAGCAATTGCAAATTTGCAGCAAATTAAACACCACCACAATTCCTATACAAAAAATACAACATTTTACAATGAGGAATTATACAAAAAACATAAAATCCTATAATCTATAAAATTAATCA